GTCGCCATCGTCGGAAAAGAAGACAACACCAACACAATATTTTTCTTTACGGTACGCAAAATATTTTCGCCATTGTTGTGGATGTTGTTGTTAATCTTTTATTGTTGTTGTTTATCTGTTTGAGGGATAAAATTAGTGTTGTAGAGTTTAGTTAGCTGAATATGAATTAAGGGATGATGTTAGAAGTAATTCATATCCAGATGTTTTTGTTGGAACTAGAAGCTTCTGATGTTATTACTCAGAAGTAGTGTTGCTCAAAAGCAGTAGAGCTTCTGAGGTTGTTAGCCATAAGTTGTAAGCTTCTGAGACTGCTTAGTTAGAAGTAACAGTTTATTAAGTTCCAAAACCATGTTTAGTTTTTGAAGTTGAGTTTAATTTGTTTTGTTAACTAGCTCTTAAGTTTATTTTTATTAGGGCATACATGACAATTTAATTTGTGTATAAATAGACTAGTGGTAGTTGTCGTTTTTAATCAATCTTTCTTACAACTTTTATAGTCGTCATTCTAGAGCAATAAATATATTTTCTCATTCTTCTTGTTTTTTATCACCTTGTGCACTAACAAATTTTACACTTATATCTTTTTTATTATTCACAAATACGATAACAATATTTTTTTTATTTTTTTAATAATTTTTTCTCTAAAACAACTTTGGTTAATAATATATAAAAATTTGATTAATACAATTCATATTTTGATTAATATATGTTCTGACATCAAAAAATAATATTAAATAATATAATAAAATTGGTTAATTGAGCGTGAAAAAATAGTTAATATAATTTATAATTTGATTATTGAATGTCTTGACATCAAAAAAATAATTTTACAATTTTAGTTAACAATATGTATAAAATTAGTTAATGCAAATCATAATAATTAATGAATTCTCATATATTAAATAGTAAAATAAAATTGATTAATAAAATATAAATAATGAAATAATCTAGCACCGAATTTAAAACTAAAATAATTTATTGAAAAATAAAATTAGTATGTTTTATGTACAATAGTGTTAAAAATTAATATCAAGATATGTTTTCTCATTTATATATACTCGTGTTTAATATAAAAATTGTATAAATGTACCATAGTTTATATTTTAATTAAAAGTGTGTTTGATAAATTGAAAGAGTTAAATTAAGTACTACTACATCCCATCCAAGGAAGAGTTCCCTGCTTCTTGGATTACCTTATGCTTAGGTTGAGTCACATGTGCTGCACAAAAAGTGATGTTAAAGCCAATAATTATCAAACGTAACTTTCTCCAGCAATAACCACCTGTATTAGATCATTGAAATGAATTATTTTAGAAAAACAACCTCACTGCCACGAGCCACCACGTGCATTGAGATAATTTTAAGAAATCAAATGGACCTATAAAGCATGAATCAGGTAGGGATAGCAAAACGGATCCGGTATGTTGGGTATACTCGTTTTACCTGCACTTTAATACGGGGCGAACTAAGAATTTAGACCCGCACCTTCTAATGTGACTGCTATGCTCTGTCCCATTTTCTTCGCGGGCTTTTGCGGACATGATTATTAACATAAATTTTTGTATTTTTAAACCTAAAAGATGCAGGGCTCGCGGGCTTTCCCTACCCCACACTCACTTTTTATGGGGCGTAGGTTTTAGGCCATCATCCTCAACTATGTCTGCCCTGTCTCGTTCTGTTTTTTTGCGGGCTTTTGCGGGACGGGCCTAAACGAGACGGACATGCCCGTTTGTCACCCCTAGATACAGGTATATTTTTGGATCCTACCAAGCGTCATGAAAATATTTTCGTTAAGATATATTTTTAGAAGGGTTATGATTCTATGAGTTGGAGTTTTCAGAACCATATATTTGATAGATTTGGTTTGGGTGGGAAATGGTGCACTTGGATGCGTGTTTGTGTTTTTGTTAGTAACTTAACGATGTTTGTTAATGGATGTCATGTTCAAAAATTAGTATTAAGAGAGGTTTGAAGTAAGGTGATTTGTTTTTCCCATTCCTCTTCTTATTTGTGGTGGAAGGTTTGGGTGAGTTGTTTGTTAGGGCAATAGAGTTGGAGTTATTTTTTTTGATTTTAAGGTAGGCTTCTCGAATTTAGTGGCTTCTCATATCCGACATGCAAATGATATTCTTATTTTGATAGAAGCTTCCATGGAGAACCTTTGGACAATTAAAGCTATCATCTAGGGTTTTGAACTTGCCTAGAGGCTTTGGTGAAATTTGCTAAGAGTAGACTTCTAGGTGTGAATGTGGATCATAATTTCTTGGAAATAGACGTTGATTTTCTCCATTGTGGGCTTAAAACTCTCTCTTTCAAGTATCTTGGTCTCTTTGTAGGGTCTAATCCTATACGTGAATCTTTTTTAGAGATTTTGATTTCTCTCATTTCTAGTAGGCTGCTTTCTTGGCACCATAGGTATGAAATCCTTGTTGAGAAGGTGGTTCTAATGAAATCTGTTTTGAACACTATATCGGTTTTTTTTTTCTTTCTTTCCTTAGGATGTTTGTTAAGGTGTGGAAGAGGACTGTGAGAATTCATAGGAGGTTTGTGTGTGTAGGAGGGGTCAGAGGCGAAGCTAAGATCTCATGGTTATGTTGGTCAAATATTTGCAAACCTAAGTGGTGAGGTGGGCTAGGAGTATATGATCTCCTCCTAGTTAATCTAACTTTACTAGTTAAGTGGAGTTAGAGGTGCCTCTCAGGGACTTTTGTGGTTTGGAGGAATATTCTAGCTTTTAGGTATGCAGTCGTTGATATAGGATCTATAAGGGGGTTAGATCCTCTAATCTTTGTTCTGCTTTCTTTTGATAGAAAAATTTCTCTCTCCTTGGCTCTAAAGTTAGGGCTCCCTCAGATTGGTTCGTTGATCATATTAGAAGGAGAGTGGGTTCAGGTCTTTCTACTTCCTTTTGATATGATGATTAGGTGAGGTCAGATCTTTCTACTTTCTTTTGGTATAATATTTGTGTGGAACCAATCCTTCTTAGAGGGAGGTTGCATATGATATACTTTATTGATCGCCGCGAGGATAAATTCATGGGTTAGGTGATTGTTTTAGAAGGCGGTGTGGTAATATGGTCTTTTAAAGTGGCGTAGAAACTTTTTTGTTTGGGAAAATGCCTCAGTAGATGATTTTAAGAGGGGTTTACATGGGTTTAATCTTAGCCACGAAAGTGTTTGTTGGTGGTGGTGGTAAGGAGAGAATGTTGAGTAGTTTATAGTTTCAACTTATGAGTTGCTCCTTGAGACTAATTTTGGTCTCCATTTCCTCTCTAATAGAGTAGATTGATTGTCGTCTAATATTTAGGTGATTTGGACACTGTCGAACATTGTTGATTTTTCGTGGAAGCTTCTCTTAGATAAATTTCCTTCTAGACTTAATCTAAGTAAGTTGTATGTCTTGTCGGATCTGGTGGAGTGTCTTGTGGTATTTATGGTGTCCACATAGAATTTATATCTCATTTCTTTACTTGTGATGTCGTTTCAAAGTTGTGATATATGATCTTTAGGTGGTTAGGTTTGTCCCTTGTTCTTCCTAATGATCTCATGTCGTTGCGTGAGACCTGTTTTTCTCTTGTTGTGTCATTTAAGTGGAGAGTAGGTTTTCTTTTGTTTGAAATGATCCATTCAAAAGTCTCAAAATGATTAATTTTTGCAAGTACTCCAATAAATGAGAAAACTCTGAAAGACATGTACATCACTCTAACTTGGAAATGATATCTTGGGAAGACTTTAAACACCACTCATTCTTTCTCTAGTTGATTGGCAAACCATGTTAGTTGTATGAGTCAATAGCAAGGTGAGTGATTTTGGTCTCTTCATTGAGTCTTGGAGTGCTCCTACTCTTTTTCAAGTTAATTTTTTTACTTCTATTGATGGTGGTTTCAAGTGCTCAGTTCTAATCGAACCCCTTTTTTTAGTGGGTGTTGGTCTTTCTTAGGGTTTTTGTGATTGAGCATTCCTCTTTTATATGAGACACTATTATTGATTTCATTTTGTTATTTTGATTATTTGTTTTATTTTGTTCTTAGTTTAGATAGGTATTTCTAGTGCTAGTTGCTGGTTTTTCCTTGATATCCAAATTAAAAATTATAAAATTTATATTTAAAAAATTAAATATAAATATTTTAATAATAGATTCTTTAACATATGCCATAAATACATTAGTTAACATTAGTCTACAGAGATAAATAACAAAACTTTGACACAGTCATTCAAATTGATCATATTTCACTCATTGTTAATAAAAAATCTAATATGTCCAAACTTTTTCCTTTACTTATCAACTGAACTTTGAATTATTCAAAATAAACTTCTGAATCCGCAAGTTAACCCAAAAATGGTGTATTAAGACTAATTAGGTCTTTAAACTAAAAATGATTAACTTACTTTAATTTTAAAAAAAATCTCAAGTTTAAAATTCCAATGTTTTTTTTATTTGAATAAACAAAGAGAAAAGGAATGATATATCGTCAATTAAATTTTAAATTAATCTGACAACTAATAATGACTATATATCTCGTCAATTCAAACCGAAAATTTTAAATTATTTATATGACAGAATAAAATAATATATTCTCTTTAGATGATAATGTAAAAAAAGTTTATACTATCGATGCATCTCCATTAAATTTATTAATAAATATTAGTTTTTATGATTAAGTCGTCGACCTCATAGTTAGTACTCCTTCAACTTCTAAATGAGTTTCAATTTGTCTTATACTTGTAATAATTACATACAATGAATGAGTAGATTCAATGATCCAAAATCAACTTGTAGACATCAACCTCAAATTGGAACACAACATTTTTTATTTCTTAAATCCAATCAAAATTCATGCATTATTGATGCTGTCATTTTGTCAAAATCAAGACCAAATAATTTATAATCAGTTAGTGTGGGTTTGGATTAATGTCTGTAACCATTATGAAAAGAAATAGTTAGTTCTGATTAGAAAAATTCACTTGTAAAACTTAAATTCAATAACCAAAGATAATAAATCATATTTCTTTGGAGATTTTGGCAGATTCATGTTGGACTTTGTCTGGTTGCAACTGTGCAGAAGCAACATCTATGGCCGAATTCAGTTGTGCTATTTTCTCGGTTAGCATCTGCCGAGTCTTCTGTTTTAATCATAGCAGAAAAATCAAATGAATTGCAATACAGTAGTTTATATGACAAAATAACAGACAGATTTATATAAACTGAAAAATACACTTAAATGACAAAAATTATCAAACACTATAATTCAAAATATTTACATAGTTCTATTTATATTCTAATATATTACATAATTAATAAAGATTTTCTTTTCCCCCACTACATGTTAAATATAATTATCCACTGTTAAATTCTCTCAATACTACTACTTTGGTTTCAAATTATAAGTGACTTTGGATTCAGAATCCTATCAGTGGGAGGACGCATTGGTTGTGCCCATAACCCGAATCTGATTGTGATACCTTGTCATGATTCAGATCCTATCACATTGCTAGTGGGGTATGTGGTTTTCAGCTTTTGGCATATCATTCTTTCAGCATGTCATGATTGATCAAATGAGGAACAACTCAGACCCACGTTGGACACTTAGCTCCTAAAGCTAACATGTGGATAGCTAGTTGATAGTGTTGAACATACACAAAAATGTTGGAAAATTGGTTAGTTGGAGAAGATGAAGTTGAGAGAAAAAGATAGAGATTATGAGAGAGAGAGAGAGTAATTGAGGAGAAAATTATAATTGGCATTAACGGAAAACGTATTACATTAGGGTATTTATAGGATACAACTTGAAACCAAACAACAAAACAATCTATCTCACAGAATAGCAGAAAAACACAAAAATCGCGCCAGAAATCGGTTTTCCCAAGTGAATGGCAAATTCCATAACTGAATATCGCAACAGAAACTGGTTTTCTCAAACTGGGAAACCGGTTTCCTCTTCGAAACATCCAAATTCCAGATTTCCAGATAAGTTGTTTGCTCGAAACGATTACAAAAGCTATTATAAGACATTTGACTTATTCTAAACATCCAATACACCATCTTAAGTCAAGTGCTCAACATTCCTCATGCTCAAACTCCTCACAAGCTTCTTGAACACATCATTTATCACACATTTCGTCAATAAATCCGCAAGTTGTTCTTCGCTTCGACAGTATCCTAACTTCAGCTGGCGTTTACATACCAACTCCCTCAGGTAATAAAATCTCATCTCTATATGCTTGTTCCTCCCATGTGCAATGGGATTCCTTGCAAGGTTAATAAGCCACACATCCTGACACGCACACATCGACGCAGCGATATACTAGGCCTCACAAGAAGAGAGTGCAACCACAGGTTCCTTTTTAGAGCACCAAGAGATTGGAACTCTGCCGAACATAAAGACATAACTAGCCGTAGACTTTCGATTGTCCTTATCTCCACACCAATTGAAATCCGTATAACCGAGTAACTCGTAATTTCTGCCCGTATCAGCTGCAGGAAAGAGTTAACTACTGCCAAATGGGAACTGATTCAAGTTACACCGAAGCCTATGAATTGATTTGCGTTTTCCCATTTCTTAGGTGAGGACAAAGAGTATTTGAGTTTTGATTCGATTGATAGAACTGATTCAAGTTACACCGAAGCCTATGAATGTCTTACTCCAGAATTTCTTAGCAAGCTTAGGACTTCAGGTGTCCCAAATCACAAACTCAGATTAAAGGTTGGTACACCAATAATGCTTATGAGGAATTTGGACCAAAACGATGGTTTGTGTAACGGAACTAGACTAATTGTTACAAGGTTGGCAAATCACGTTATTGAGGCAAAGATCATGTCTGGTAAGAATGTTGGTAACATCTTTTACATCCCTCGAATGTCTATGTCACCTTCCGAGTCACCGTGGCCATTTAAGTTGATTAGGAGACAGTTCCCAATTATTGTGTCGTACGCAATGACAATTAATAAGTCTCAAGGCCAATCACTTGATACAGTTGGATTGTATTTGCCTACTCCTGTATTCAATCATGGCCAGTTGTATGTAGCCATTTCAAGAGTTACAAGCAAAAGTGGTCTAAAGATCTTAATACATGATAGTATGAATGTATCAACATCTATCACTACAAATGTTGTATACAAAGAAGTTTTTCAATCTCTTTGTTGATCGGTAAGTACATAATAACAAATATTTTCTTTAATATAAATTGTTTCCGTAAATGTTGTCTAATTTTTGCATAATTTATTGTGCAGGTCAAAAAGTTGAAAACATCGTTTCCAAGCTGGTTGCGTTGTATCTGAAGACTCGTGATAGTTTCTTATTTTGAAGAGTCATCACAGTTTCTTATTTTGTTACACAATCATGATTTCAGTTTACATTTTTTAATGTTGTCAAATAAGTTTGATACACTAAATTTGGCCGAATTAGATGAACTTTTATTGAATTACATAAAAACAAATTTACTATTACATGACAACATTAGTTCCACGTTTTATGAATTCTCGACCGGCCCCGTGCGACAGCACGGGTTATCGACTAGTTTTAATTAAAAAAGTCAAAAGTCATATTTTACTTTCTGTTCTTTTGCTTATGTGCAAGGATTTATCCAACCAAACCAAAACGATAGTTTTTGTTCAATTGAATTAATAATCACACTCAGTATTTACTATGCAGTCCCCGTGATCGATACTTGGGGTAAAACCCATTATTACTACATCGGTAAAAATAATACACTTGCTATTTTTCCGGTCAAGTTTTTGGCGCCGTTGCCGGGGACTGCCAAATACAGAGTTTTATTGTTATTCAATTGAAATTTTATTGCTCTGCAATTAAAATTTTATTTTTCAGTTATTATCGAAAGAACTTTTCACGCAAGGAGAAGACAAGCTAAGTTAGTCAGACTGGCTTCCGAGGAAGATATTGCCTCAATTCACTCAGCCCACCAAGACACAGATTGAGAACACCATTCAGAACACCAAGAGACAGAGTCAGATTCAGAAACTGAAATCATGGGCAAAAATCCACCTGAGAGACTACTTGGTGACTATGGTGGAAGGAATGCACCGGCTGGTAGACTCACTATTGTAAACCACCCGGTGAATGTACCACTTTCAGCTGCATCCCAGTACTATCACTCAGCTCGAGAGGAGATCTTTTTCGGGAAAGGTAAATGAAGATGCTAACAAGCACTTACAAAGATTTTTAACCATGAGCACAACTCTGAAGATAGATGGGCATACAGAGGAACAGAAGAAGTTGAGAATGTTCCTTTTTACTTTAGTTGACGAAGCTGAAGACTGGTTCTTTTCCTTGCCAACAAATAGTATCACAACCTAGGAAGAGATGGAGACAGCTTTTCTAAAGGAGTATTTTCCAGCCTCGGTGTTCATAAGAAAGAGGTATGATATACTGAGTTTCAAGCAAAAAGAGGGAGAATCGCTGGGGGGGTGCCTATAAAAGGTTCAAAAGACTCCTAGTGGCTTGTCTTACTCATAATCTGGATCAGACTGATCAAATGCAAACGTTTGTAAATGGTCTGAGAATCAAGACAAAGCGGCTGATAGACACAACAGCTGGTGGCTCATCAAATTTCTCAACAGCCACTGGTGTGAAGAAGATAATAGAAACAATTGCTGCAAATGAGCATTTGGAGTTATATGACAGGGTTGCAAGCAATTCTGAAGGAGTCATTGATTTAATGTTGGAGCCCAACAAACAATTAAAAATTGAAGAAACAATTGTCGTAGAGGTAGACAAGAAGCTTAAAGCACTGAATTTAGGCGCTCATCAAGTTGCCCAAGTTCAACAAGCACAAAATGTTGTATGTAAAATTTGTAACGGTCGCACAATACAATGCACTGTTTAGCTTCTCCACAACAAATTGAAGACATTAAGTTTTTGAAGCAGAATAACCTTTATTCAAACACCTACAATCCGAGGTGGAAGAACCATCCAAACTTTGGGTGGAGAGATCAAAAAGGGAATGTTCAGCAACAAGGACAAAGTCAATATCAGAACCAATATCAGCAGCAACAACAACAATAGGTCCCTAAGAAGGCAGATTGGGAATTGGCTATTGAAAAGGTGGCAGCTCACAATATTCAGTTCCAAGAAGAAACAAGAAATAATCAAAAGAACACATCTGCCTCCATTAAAAATTTGGAGGTACAGATGGGTCAAATAACACAACAGTTGGCTAATACTTAAGCACCGGGCACTCTGCCTGGTGGAACGGTTACAAATCCTAGAGATAATCATACTGTGAATGCAGTTGTGACCAGAAGAGGTAAGTCAGTTGAGAATGTTGAAATTGAGGAAATATCGAATGAAGGTTTGAAAGAAGTGGATCTAGAAATACGAGATGATCTGAAGCAGGCTGAGGAAGTTGTTATAGAGCCAGTGGTTGAGAAGGAAAAACAGAAGGATCCTAAGTCTAAAATCATTCTTCCTTATCCTTCAAGAACAAGGAAGAAAGATCTTAACGAGAAAATTTTTGAAAAATTCTTGGAGTTGTTCAAGAAACTTGAAATTAACATCCCTTTTGCTGAAGCTCTGGAACAGATGCCTATATATGCCAAATTCATGAAAGACATCATCTCCAAGAAGCGTGCCATAGATAATTTTCCGGTAATGCTGATTGAAACGTGTAGTGCTATTTTGCAGGGTCTCAAAATTACTATGAAAAAAAGAGAAAGGGACTCACAGGACATCACTGCGGAGGAGGAAATTGCAACATCAAGTGTTGCATCATCCGGTGTATCTCACTCAATATTTCCCCTTGACGGACCTGTTCGACTCTTTGGCGCGCCTGCTCAGCACGGATGCCAAACTCTGTTTGTAGCCAGACCCACTCTTCTTGGGTGAAAGATGAGGACCTTCCACCAGATTGGGTAGGCATCTCAGGGGATTACCCACTGCCTCTTGCTCTCTAGAATCTTCATCCATTTGGTCCTCCTCGGCTTAATTATCCTCATCATATTCGTCTTGATCTTCCTCGTCATCACTCTAATACCCCAAATACAACTCGCGCGGTCAGAGATAACTCTTGCAGGGTCACGGAGTGTGAGAATAACCTTTTTGAACTTATTAAACCAAACGTCTTTCCTGTATCTGAATCATGCCCGGATTGACAAGGGCACTCATATC